CAGGCTGTTGGGTTTAGTGAGGGTTAGGGTTAGGCTTAAGGTTACGGTTAAGGATAACAATCGGGAGAGGGTAGCCAAAAAAATACTGCCGGCCAAAGCGGCGATCTTATTGTAACTGTCCTAAGCTATGCAGCCACTGAATTAGCCGCACACTGGAGACTGCGGTAGCCCCTTGATCTCTGGAAGTAATGGTAAAAATTGATAATCCAGGCGTTCGGTCAACGGCGATCGTATTGCAATTGTCCGTAGGTAAGCTACTATAATATACTTCGCATAGGGACTACTGCGGTCGCTTGTCAGCAGTGGAAGCTTATATTAAGGTTGTTTAACGTAGGGTGGGTCCACTGCGATCGTTTTGCAACTGTTCAAAGGGTATGGTGCCATAGATTGAGCCGCATACCTACAACTACGGTCATTCCTCCCCTAAGGAAGAAATGGTCATAATAAGTAAGCCAAAGGGCCGGTCCACAGCGATCGTATCGCAAGTGTTTGAACGTATGCTACCACAGATGAAGCCGCATATCGACTACTGCGCTCGCTCTTCAGCTGTGGAAGCTAATGTCAAGGTTGGTAAACATAGGATGCGTCTAAAGCGATCATTCTCCAACTTTCCTAAGCTATGCTACTCTAAAGTAAGCCGCAAGCGGATTATTGTCGTCGCTCGTGACCTAAGCATGCATATGTGAAGGATGGCAAACCAATGGTCAGTATACAGCGATCGATTCTCAACTCTCCTAAGGTATGCAAGGATAGATTTAGCCGCAACCCTACTATTGCTGTCACTCTTCAGCCGTCTCCAAGCATAGGTCAAGGTTGACTAACCATGGCTCGGTCTGCAGCTGTCGCACCTCAACTGTTGGAGACTTTGATAATCTAAGTGAGGCAACACGTGCACTGCAGATCAGATAAAATCGAGGTCGGATGAAACGAAAAATATGTAAGGCTATAACCTACTCAAATAGGTAGAGCATGTATTATTTCTAGGCACCGGATATTTGGGTGTCCTCTCCCGATTGCTATCCCGTTAAGGTTAGGGTTGGGGTCAAGGTTAGGGTTAGGATTATGGCTAGGCTTTGGGTTAGCTTTGGGCTTTAGGATTTTGGTTACGTTTCAGTTTTGAGGCTTACGCTTAAGCTTTACGCTTGCGGTTAGAGTTGCCTTTTAGGTTTAAGCGTAGTGTTTGAATTTCTGCCATTATTCAACCTACTTAAAACTTCCCAGCTCTTTGCCTGGTAACTTTACTTTTTTCCCAGAAACCCCACCATTCTTCCACCAGACCTTCCATTTACCCCACCCATATAACCCCATTTCCCACCGTTTCCGTACGACAGGGACCTGGCTTTCCGCCTTCCTATTCCTGGCTACCAACTGCGATCTAACCGAAGAGAGTACTAATATTATCGTTCTCTGGTCATCACAAAAGACGATAAATTCCCGCATGGATTCGACTCATATGTGGCAAAACGCTGCTGTGTCTGGGTGTCACATAAACCCCGTTTCGTAGTCGGTTTTGCCTTCCTAGTGGTCGCACGTGGTTAGATGTTAGTGAAAATTGAGGTCTGTGGGCCAGATTTAGACTTGCGCGCGCGTCTGCTCCGACTTTCAGACGCGAAAGGACGAATCAGCCGCGACACGACCGCGCATCTTAAGACGTTGTTGGCGCGCAAGTATCTTAAGACTCTGCAACAGTCGGATATCTTCGTCACCAATTGGTCGCCTCGGATAACTACGCGCGCAAGTCACGTCTGAGCACTGGTTGCTTCCTCTCTCTATTTCGTGCGCCGAGGGGGGGAGAGGGATGGGAACGGGGGGGGGGATCTGGCCTCAGGTGACGGGCCAACTCGTCGTTAGTCGCGAGCACCTAAAATGCTTGAGAGTTACCAATGCCCTCATAATAGTTGTACACAAACCCATTAACTGCAGGTTTTTGATTTCCACTAAACTTAAGCGCTAACTTAGAGTAAGTCAATCTGCTTGAGCTCAGGGTGAAATTTCATGTGAATGTTTGGGGCCAAAGTCCACCAGCCCCGGCAGAATAACAGCAAAATATTCACAAAATGCTAACAGGCAGCCAGTAATATAAACACACAGTAGGTGGGCTAACTCATGAAATGTCAACCGAAATTCAGAAATGCGTTTTCGTTTCGAAAAGATTAATTAAGTAAAGTTGTAAAACTGGTCAGCCTGACACATAATTCTATAATATTTTAGTTACCTCAGGATTCCGGCTTTCGAATGAACTTCCTTCCGGCTGCATGCAAAAACTGCACTCTGTAAAAACTACTACTTAAGCAGCATGAATTTTTCTCGTTGATTTTCAATGCCTCTAAATGTCCAATTATATTTCATGGAAAACATGCATAAAAATATTCACTCTTCCGCTCATTTAGTAGGCAATTACGTCTTCTTTCAATCATATACTCGAAGGAAGGCTATAATTCGGTTTTCAAAAAATTTTCCAATTCCCGAATAATTTTGAACCCGCTCTACCGCCGCACTTAGATTCAGGGTTTCCAAACTATACGCGGTATATTTTCCGCGTACGGATAACCACACATTGCTCTACGATAATAAAGGGGGACCATATGGGATTTATAAATTTAAACAGTGGATTTGATCCATATTGTTAAGTTTACAAGCCACATTGGTAAATGCAGAGACATGACGATTTATGGACGGCCATTTCACGGTATTTAAAAATCCCACAATTAGAAACTTTTTAAAATCGAAATATGTCCCTCCTTCGCGAATAACATTAGAAGAAGACGTGATTATCTGCCGAATTTGTAAAAGAGTGAATGTTTTATATATGTTTCCCATGAAATATAATTGGACATTTAGGGGCATCGAAAATCAGTGAGAAAAACTCATGCTACTTAAGTGGTCAGTTTTTACGGTGTGTACTTTTTGCATGCAGTCGGAAGGAAGTTCATTCGAAAGCCGGCGTCCTGAAGTAACTGAAATATTATAGAATTATGTTGCAGCCTGACCAGTTTTACAAATCTACTACATTAATCTTTCGGACCGAAAACGCATTTTGGAATTTCGGTTGAAATTTCATGAGTTATCCCACCTAATGTAAGCTGCACGATAAGCCATACTCGGCAACACAGGTACTAGCTAAAAGCCCAGACACGCATGTTTCGCCGATATTCTGTCGCTGTACGACACGGCTTCGAGAGGTTCGGCTCACCAATGGGTCCCCCGAGCGTTCCCCGTTCTGACGAATTTAAAAATCTGCGACCTAAAAACTTGGATATCTATCAGAAAGCATTCAGGGAATGCTGGAGGACCCAGTGATGAACCATAGAGCGGCAGAATATAGGCAAACTACGTGTCTGGGCTGTTAGCTGGTACCTGTGCCACCTAGTACGGCATATCATCCAACCCACGCTCATCAACTCTTTCATCATCTTTTTTATTATGGCCACAGGAATGGAGAACATTTTTGTCGAAAATTCTTGTAGGACAATTTCAAAACGAGGCGTATTGCCCCCTTTATTCCTCCTTCGTTAATTACACCAGTTGATGGTGTAGTAAGGATTCAGTGACAAGCGAATGGTTGTAAGATTTCAAGTATTTACAATTGATTTCATCTGGTTTTTTGTCGGGTCTGAGGGACAAGACGCTTTCTACAGTCTCGGAGGAGGTAGAAACCAAGGCGAGATTAACTTTTTCACTCAAGCATGCGGTCAACCTACAGAAAACGGCGCCCTACGTAGTGACTGAAATTAAAACAACGCGATAGCAAGAAACGGGGTCCGAACTGATCGACAAACTAGAGTCCAGACGGAAACGTTTATTTCTTTTATCTGACAGTAGTCGCTTACCCGAACTCAAAGTCGGCGATTCGAATTTGAATCGCACACCCTTAGGAATCATCTGGTTCTTAGTTGTCAGAAGCATAACACCGAATGACTGCATCCGCGTCTTCAGATGTGGTGCCAGGTCTTTCTGTAATCGTCGCTCATTCCGGTGTTGTTACAATCTCTGACAATGGACTCCTGCACGAGTTTGAGAACTCAGCACATTAAACAAACTGTACTGGTGCTCGATGAGCCTTCTGATTTACTTATACGTACATCAGGAACTCATACTTTTGTTTCCAGTCGGGAAGTTTGTTTGAGTTATCGAGGGGGAAGCGACTTACACTCGACCTTGTCGCCAGGCGGTCAGCGCTATTACACGCATTATCCGTCTATTTTGGTTTGTTATATAACAAGAGGAGGTCGATAAACTGAGTGAATTAGTAAATAACATTGCTTCGAGGCTGAATCGAGTCGACCGTGTCTCCAGCTCAGGTGATCCATCGATATACGGATCACAGTGATGTTTGCTTATCACACTGAATGAGCGGCACCTAGCACGCCAATCATCGATCGATGGCGCAGAGCTCCGTACGCCAGCGCCAGATCGATACATCAACTGATTGAAGCTCAGGCCTCGTCTTTGTCGGTAATACCATTCTGCTTATATCATGGGCCGTTGTGCGGTTGCTGGTTAGGTTCGAGAGAGAGCCCGTAAGGCACAAGACCGCTGCGCTATCGCCGCAAGGCACAAGAGGACGAGTGAGGTCCGTAGAAACGATCTGTGAGCGCCCCTCTACCCTTCGACAGATTCTTGGCCTGTTTTGTTTCCTGCGTGGTTGATGATCGGCTAGCACGCCCTGTAATTGTCGCTTGTTCTGTTGCTGCTACTATCTCTGACGATGGACTCCTGAACGAACCCGGAAGCTCGGAACAATAAAATGTTAAGGTGCTCGATCATCCTTCTTCTTCATTTATACATATACCTGGAGCTCAAACCTTTACCTTCATTTTGGCTCAAACTTCCACCCCCATTAAGGATTTTCAGTCTCAAAATCCTGCTATTAGCCAGAGCAGAAACTAGTACCACGGCGTTATTTCTTTGAATTAAAGAGGTTTCAGTCTCTAAGATGAAGTGAAAATCGGAAGTCGCGCAGCGACTAGTAGCAACATGGACAAGAAAGACTAAGGTGGACTTTTCCTGATTATTTGCCATCAAAGGCACAAAGGGACAGGCATTGGATCTACTAAATAGCGGTAATGAAAAAAAAGCAGGAGTTCGAATTTCAGGTATCCAGCAAGTCTGGGTTTGGTTAAAACGGTCGGACGAAAGCCAATAAGACAGAGCTGGACATCCCAGTCTCCCTTGTATTTATCGGCAGTCCACTGCTTGCACATACTGTCTAAAAGGGCTCTGTATTAAGTCTCCAGACGCACCCAATCGGTGGAAGTCTCGATTAAGATCCCACATGCTTGGGGTTGAGGGCGGCTGTCTGACGACGGCTGTATATTGGAGGTGATTTGACCAACAGGACTTACTCGTTGAGTTCTGCCTCGGGGCTCAATGTAAAGCCCTCGACGGCGGTCACATAGCAACCAGGAATGTATTACGAAAGGCTGTCCAAGAAAAACAAGGGGGGGAGGGTCGGATGATGGTTTCTGGCATATTAACGATCGTCAGTCAGGCTTGTCCAATCCAGATTTTTCGGGGCACCTGTAGTTCCAACCTGGGTTCTTTTGATTAGTGAACGTATACTCTAGATCGCTATGCGACTGCCTACGAGAGTTCTACACTAGGCTTCAAGGCACAACGATTCGAGAAAGTCGCGTAACTCGATTGGTGAAGGCTCTGTGGCGGTCAAGGATGTGAGATTGACTTAAACCACGCACAATAAGTTTGTTTCGTCTACTGTCAGAAGTCGGGGAGCTGTTAGGACTAGTTTATTCTGTACACAGGGCAGGTTGCCGTAAGTTGGCTGTTTGCTTGCAACAGAGAAATGCGTCCGTTCACGGAGAGTGTCAGTCACGGTGTGTGTGTTGTTTACGCGGGTGTGCGTCTGGGTCAGCAGGAGGAGTGACTGGCTGAGTGTTGGTTGTGTGATTGGACAAATTAGGGGAGGAATGGAGGGCGCATACTCACAAGGCCTCACGGGAATCAAGCCAGAGCGTTCGACGCGGGTTAGGTGATACTAATTTGTGAGGGCAGCCGGGAGTCACTGCAGCTGGACGGGAGGGACCCCAGTTCTAGCCGGTGTGGGTGGTCGTGTGTCAACGGCCTGTCAGTGCTTGTCACGGCCATCGACCGACAAAACGGAGCAGGAGAAAAGGGGGGCTGGAGCGGCTGCTACAGCTCTTTTCAGCATGTCTTAATATCCCGGACCGCAGTCGATGGGATAAAGATCCCCCAGGGCATTGGTTAGAGGGTTTGACTTACTAACGCTCAAAAACCAGAAGCGCCCGGCTACGAACCCCAGGGGTCCCAAAAAAGTGGGGATTTTGCGACGCAGCCTGACGATGACTGTCTACCTCGGTCTGTCTTGTCTTTGGCTGTAGTGTTATTCTGCCTGTCTGTCTGTTGGTTGGGCTTTAGATTGAGCCTGAAGGCACACCCCAAGGCGTATGTCTCGCAACGTGATCGATGACCGTCTCCCTACCTTGAACAAGAAGACACGATCGTCGAGACAAGAGCTTCATTAGCCTTGTCCCGGCGATCGGGTCTTCTTCTTCAAGACTGCTTCCTGGGACTCGTCTTTTCGCTTCTGTTGGCGTCTTCCTACCATTGAATATATCCGATCTAAACCGTCAGGATTGTGCCTTTAAAGCTCAAGCTTGTTTCCTACTAAGAGCCACACGGCAGCTAGTATTATAGGTGGATTAATATTACCGGAAAAATAAGGGAGACTTGAATGACCACCTTGGCTTAGTGACGGCTCATAAGCCAGAAATTGCCATTCCAGTCTCCCTTGTCTTTGTCGGTAGTGTTATTCTTCTTCTTCTTCTTCTTCTTCTTCTACTACTACTACTACTACTACTACTACTACTACTACTACTACTACTACTACTACTACTAATTTGTGAGAATTTTTGTGGCGAGATGGTCAAAGGCAACTCGAAAGGCTTTTACAGGAAATCCAACAATCTAGCGTTTGCGACGTAAGCTAAGGCAAGGTACTTTTATCATTACGGATGAGCCGACAGCAAAATATTTTCGGCTAGATCTTATTTCGTAACCCTACCCGTTAGGAGGTAGGATAAGGGGTTAGGGTTAGAAGTTGTGGTTAGGTGTCGGGGTTAGGGGTCAAGGTTAGGGGTTGGGGTTAGGGGTTAGGGATTAGTGGTTAGGGTTAAGGGTTGTGGTTAGGGGTTAAGGTTAGAGGTTAGGGTTAAGGATTAGACTGGGCTTGTCTACTGCAGGGACGGCTGTAGCAGCCGCTGCAGCCCCCCTCTTCTCCGGCTCCGTTTTGTCGGTCGATGGTCGAGACAAGCACTGACAGGCCGTTGACACACGACCACCCACACCGGCTAGAACTGGGGCCCCTCCCGTCCAACTGCAGTGACCCCCGGCTGCCCTCACAAACTAGTATCACCTAACGCGCGTCCAACGCTCTGGCTTGATTCCCGTGAGGCCTTGTGAGTATGCGCCCTCCATTCCTCCCCTAGTTTGTCCAATCACACAACCAACACTCAGCCAGTCACTCCTCCTGCTGACCCAGACGCACACCCGCGTAAACAACACACACACCGTGACTGACGCTCTCCGTGAACGGACGCTTTTCTCTGTTGCAAGCAAATCGCCAACTTACGGCAACATGCCCTGTGTACAGAATAAACTAGTCCTCACAGCTCCCTGACTTCTGACAGTAGACGAAACGAACTTATTGTGCGTGGTTTAAGTCGATCTCACATCCTTGACCGCCACAAATTGGTGACCTCGAATTTCCGAACACTGGAATTCTGCAAACATTTCGTCCACAACAACAATCTTCCGGCGACCTACAGCGCGATGTCCCAAGACCAGAAGTCACTCATCAACTCAAATTCTCAAGGAGCTAGCGTTCGCTTGGATCGGCTCGAGGATGTATTAATGCGCTTGAAAGCCCAGCTTACTGCAGTTACCACTAACGGCCTGCGGCGAACACCAAATCGTCGCCCTACTTCCTCCGATTCCCACACCCGCCGTCCACAATCTCCAAGTACCGTCTGCTGGTATCACCAACAATTTGGAGGAGCAGCTCGACGATGTCTTCAGCCATGCTCTTTCAAGGCATCTCTAACGTCCTCAGGGAGACAATCCCACTCGACAGTATAGTCCACTGCTGCTGGAAGCGTTGCCAATCTCCACACTCGCCGTTTGTTTCTCTGGGACCGTATCGCTGGCGCCAAATTCCTTGTCGACTCTTGTGCCGAGGTTAGCGTGGTTCCACCAACTCCGGCCGAACGCAAACACCGCAGCTCTTTTTGTCTAACAGCTGCCAACAACTCCAGCATCCCCACCTTTGGACAGCGCTCCATCACACTCGATTTGGGCCTTCGTCGAATTTTCCGATGGGTTTTCATTATTGCCGACGTTTCCGTCGCTCTCATAGGCGCCGATTTCCTAGCTCACTTCAATCTACTAGTTGATTTGAAGAATCGCCGACTCGTCGACTGCATCACTGACCTTCATGCCCGATGTCAATCCGATGTGAACCCCTGCGTCAACCCTCTCACTGTTATGCCCATCTCTGACTGTCCTTTCCACTCACTCCTCAGGCAGTTTCCCCGCCTGACCAACGCCTCATTTCGAGAAGTGGACATCAAACACACAGTCACCCACCATATTTCCACCACCGGACCTCCCAAATCTTGCCGACCACGTCGTCTCCCTCCAAACCATTTGAAGATTGCCAAGGCAGAGTTCGAACACATGCTCGAGCTCGGCATCATCCGACAGTCCGACAGCTGCTGGGCATCACCCTTCCACCTTGTCCCCAAGAAGAATGGCGACTGGCGACCGTGTGGTGACTATCGGGCATTGAACTCTGTGACTGTTCCCGACCAGTATCCCGTTCCGCACATCCAAGACTTCACTCTTTCGCTACATGGTAAGCGAATATTCTCCAAGATCGACCTTGTGCGTGCCTACCATCAAATCCCGATCGAGGCCAGTGATGTTCCGAAAACTGCAGTGACCACTCCCTTTGGGTTATTCGAATTCACTCGTATGCCCTTTGGTCTGAGGAACGCCACTCAAACCTTTCAGCGATTCATTGATCAGGTTCTGCGAGGTCTCGACTTCGTCTACGCCTACATTGATGATTTGCTAGTGGCTAGTTCTGACGCTGCTGAACACGAGATTCATCTTCGACAGCTCTTCGAACGGCTCGACTCCTACGACGTTATCATCAATGCCGCCAAATGTGAGTTTGGAGTCCCCAGTCTTGTCTTCCTTGGTCACGAAGTGAACTCAGATGGGATAAAGCCCGTCCCGGAAAAAGTTTCGGCCATATCAGCGTTCCCCGTCCCGACAACCATCAACCAACTACGCCGATTCTTGGGAATGGTGAACTACTATCACCGTTTTCTTCCCCATGGTGCCACCATACTGCAGCCTCTCAACAGCCTGTTGACCCACTCCAAGAAGACGCTGGTGATGACCGAGGAGACCGTCAAGTCCTTCAATGACGTCAAGGCCGCACTTGCGAGCGCAACACTACTAGCCCACCCCCGCGCTGATGCTCAACTAACTTTCATGACATATGCTTCCAGCACTGCCGTTGGTGCATCACTGCAGCAAACTGTTGGTGGTGTTCTACAATCTCTGGCTTTCTTCTCGAAGAAGCTAAGCCCTGCGGAGACCCGCTACAGTGTCTTCGGCCGAGAACTGCTCGCCGTCTACCTATCCATTCGGCACTTTCGCCATTTCCTCGAGGGTCGTGAATTTGTTGTTCTAACAGATCACAAGCCACTCGTTTTTGCACTGAGGGCCTCTCCCGATCGATACTCGCCCCGTGAAATCCGTCATCTTGACTTCATCTCACAGTTTTCCTGCGACATCCAACATGTCCACGGTAAGGAAAATGTGGTTGCTGATGCTCTTTCAAGACTCGAGATGGCCTCCATCACAACAGACGCCATAGACTTCACGCTCATGGCTGAGGCTCAGCGATCGGATGACGAGCTCTCCCAATACCGCCACGAGGATTCTTCTTTACGCCTTCAAGATGTCCCCCTTCCCACTGGCACTGGCACTATAACGTGTGATCTTTCTACCGGACATGAACGTCCCTTTGTCCCTGCAACTTTACGACGACGAGTGTTCAACGCCCTTCACAATCTGTCCCACCCTGGAGTCCGGGCGACAGTGAAACTCATCACTGACCGGTTCGTCTGGCCCAACATCAACCGGGATGTACGGCGTTAGACTCGATCCTGTCTGTCATGTCAGCGAGCCAAAACGCATCGGCATACTACTACTCCGCCAGGAACTTTCGCCACTCCTGATGCACGCTTCAGTCATGTGCACATTGACCTGGTAGGTCCGCTGCCACCATCTAACGGTTCTACCTATATGCTGACATGCATTGATCGTTTTACTCGGTGGCCGGTTGCTGCGCCCATTCCGGACATCAGTGCTGAAACCGTTGCGAAAGCTTTCTTGACTCATTGGGTGTCCAATTTTGGAGTTCCTGCGACTGTCACCACTGACCGCGGATCCCAATTCGAGTCCACGCTGTTTCGCGAACTCACATCCCTTCTCGGTACCAACCGAATCCGAACAACAGCGTACCACCCTCAAGCAAACGGTCTCGTCGAACGCTTCCATCGACAGCTCAAGACTTCCCTTATGGCCCAGCCCGATCCTTCCCGATGGTCTGATCACCTTCCCCTGGTGCTGTTGTCCCTCCGTTCCACTCTCAAGGCCGACATCGGTTGCACTGCAGCTGATCTTGTCTACGGAACCTCCCTACGACTGCCCGGTGAGTTAGTGTCCCCCTCAAACATGCTAACGTTTTTTGAACCTTGCAGTTATGTGGAGCAGCTGCGTAGTGTCATGCGCAATCTTCGCGCAACGCCCCCTCGGGCGTCACCGGCCAATTCCTTCATCCCTCCCGACCTGGATAAGTGCGATTTCGTCTTGGTTCGGCATGACGCTGTCCGACGACCACTCCAACCACCCTATGACGGGCCGTATAAAGTCCTTCGTCGATCTGACAAAGATGTTGTCATCGACCGCAACGGCAAGACCGACACAGTCAGCATTGATCGCGTCAAGCCGGCCTACATCGACGACAGTGACCATCCCTCATCCCAACACTGTACCCCGCCTCAGACAGTGCGGCCTCCTCCACCTACTGGCGACAGCCGCCCTCCGGTTCGCCACACACGATCTGGTCGTCACGTCCACTGGCCCGACAGGTTTGTTGCTGGCTGGCATGTCGACGCCTTCACTTTGTTTGGTGTCTGGGGGGGAGTTATAGCAGCCGCTCCAGCCCCCCTTTTCTCCGGCTCCGTTTTGTCGGTCGATGGCCGTGACAAGCACTGACAGGCCGCTGACACACGACCACCCACACCGGCTAGAACTGGGGCCCCTCCCGTCCAGCTGCAGTGACTCCCGGCTGCCCTCACAAATTAGTATCACCTAACCCGCGTCGAACGCTCTGGCTTGATTCCCGTGAGGCCTTGTGAGTATGCGCCCTCCATTCCTCCCCTAATTTGTCCAATCACACAACCAACACTCAGCCAGTCACCCCTCCTGCTGACCCGGACGCACACCCGCGTAAACAACACACACACACCGTGGCTGACGCTCTCCGTGGACGGACGCTTTTCTCTGTTGCAAGCAAATCGCCAACTTACGGCAACCTGCCCTGTGTACAGAATAAACTAGTCCTAACAGCTCCCTGACTTCTGACAGTAGACGAAACGAACTTATTGTGCGTGGTTTAAGTCGATCTCACATCCTTGACCGCCACACGGCTACGAAATAAGATCCGACCATAGTTTCTACCAGATTATATATTTAAAATTTTAAAATTTACATTTTACGAACATTGCGACCCACCGTATATTCATATTAGAATTCGAAAGTGCGTTTTTTCCCCCAATAAATCAGTCTGCAACATTCTTTCGAATGCAGTTTCCAAGACGGCACCGGTGCCACCCAATTCAGTCAAGAAATGGGAGCTCTTAAACTATTTATCGGCGCAGAAACACTTGTTAAAAACGTTGGATGCCAAATCGGCAGCAGTCTCAGTCATAAGGCGGTAAAACACTGCGTAAGGCAAACGAATATGTCCCCAAGCAAAATCTCTCGTCGCGGACTCCCGAGATTTGGAAAATGTGTCTAGTTGGCCATTTAGATCGGTGCTCTACCATTTGGGTCACGAATTCACGCTCTACCTACCAAGATCAAAAATACCTGAAGTCACATGGTATAAACGTTTCTACATCCGTCCTGATTGGAGGAGGGTATAGGCTCAGCGACTGTATCGATTTTTCGCTAATGATTGCTGCTCATCACTCGATCGTTTGCGCTTCCAGGTTCCGCGCTCGTGGTAGATCGATGGGCACCAATACTACCTCCTCACGGCAATCTTTAATCGATTTAAATCAATGGTCTAAAATTTTTGACTCATAGGGCATCAGCGACGATGAATTTTATCACCCAAACTAGAAGACGTTCTTATGTACTTCTTCATAACTACTGTGTTTTATACGCATCGAATGATAAACGGAGCATGCTGAGTGGACTGGGCTGAATGTTGTAGGCTCTCAGTTAGGTAAGTTAAATATCTCAAGTTGAATTTCAGTCGTCTATAAGGACAACTTTTGAATGAATCATAAGGAAATGACTACTGAACCAGGAAATATGGAGCCCCTTGCTACAGATGGCTCTGTACTACAGTCCCGGGGTGCTTGTTCCCGTGACTTAATATTAACATCAACACTGACCCTAACCGTAACACTAACCCTCATAATCCTTCTAACCCTATCTGTCATGGAATATGACGTAATTCCAGCTGTAATACGTGGAAGGGACAACATTCCCGGTAACAGATCATATGACGACACAGGTCCATCGTTGATTTCGACGATGTCTGCCGTGTGGTGAACAGCAATGTAGGAGCAGGGAAGGCAATTTGCGAGTGATTTAGCTTATAGTGATAGCAGACTTTCGCAGCATCTACCGCACTTCCTCCTCCACACTCCCCACCTGGATCCGGTGTCAAGACAGAGTCAAGAAGATCGGGGGCGGGGGAGGCCTCGGGTGGGTGGCACGGCCGAGGCGACGAAAGGGGAGAAAAAACGATCAGCCCGGAGCCGACTAGTTCGACCAGTCGTTTAAAAATCCTGGTCGATATCCCGTATTAGACGCTTCGAAAATGGTGAGCTGGCCAAGCTCTTCAAGACATCAGCAACACAATCAATCGATTCCAATGAACCCCTTCTCTTTCTCGAATTATCCGCCGGAACTCTCATCTTTGAAGACTTGTTTTATTAATTTATAAACAGATCGAGTCGGATATCGAAAATTCACAGTTCTCTGTGCAGCTTGGAGAGCGCAAAGTTTAGATGTTTTGGGGAAAAAATAGAACGCAAACCATTCTGAGCAAGAAACGGCTGACGGACAACAGCCTTCTGAGTATGTTTGTGTATGAACAGTTCGAACATCACGCTGTCTGAAAGCAGCCTACATATGGAGGATTAAACCCGACCTGTGTCAAAAAGCAGACCTTGTGGCCAACTCGAACTTGGTTTGACAACAACTAGTTCTTTGTAAATCAGCGCGCACCTCTTATTATTTCTGTGTTTTAAACTGGGAACTTGCTGATTCCGCATGGAAGTTTCGGAAAAAAATTGACTTTCTGAGCCCTACCTACTAGCTATCTACGTTGTAAAACCACAGGTGGAAGTAAGTAAGTTGCCGAGAATATGTTGGCATCATTAAATCCCGCGGTTTACGGGTATTTTAAATTTTAACAAAATTGACGCGAAAATAAACTATAAGAATATCACACTTTCAAGGTACTGGACAAGGGTTTGCCCAGAAGAAGGAAGTTGCCATATAAGGCATACAAGCACAGCGTCCTCCTTCCCAGTTGCCATATATGGCCAGTTTTCCTTCTGTGCTGAACGGATGCAAAAGGTGGGCGAATCAGTCTGAAGGTCGCAACTGTTGTGCTGCTGAATCACATCCCAAAGACAGCCAATCAGCGCCCAGTGTGAAGACGTGTGCGTACACGCGACCAATCAAAATTCCGCACGCGTGCGTGCAAACACGGCGCACGTCCGCTGTCGAAAAAGCATAAATGGCTGCCCAGCGCGAGTGGACGGATAACGCAGCAGCACACCTGCAACCAGACGTACATCACTCGAAACCAGGGTCCAAATGGGTGACGAAGAAGTCCAGGCTCTTGTTGTTGACAATGGCTCCGGCATGTGCAAAGCCGGCTTCGCCGGAGACGATGCCCCTCGCGCCGTCTTCCCCTCAATCGTGGGTCGCCCGCGTCATCAGGTGAGCAAATATCACTGAGCCGAGACTAGTAACAGTGACGATTAGTTGCATTTGCGCTCAGATGCTCACTTCAACATCCTCTCATCATCATCATCATCATCATCATCATCATCATCATCATCTACTTTTTACTTTTATGATTACAGGGCGTCATGGTGGGCATGGGCCAGAAGGACAGCTACGTCGGCGATGAGGCCCAGTCCAAACGTGGCATTCTGACCCTCAAATACCCCATCGAACACGGCATCGTCACCAACTGGGACGACATGGAGAAGATCTGGCATCACACCTTCTACAACGAGCTCCGTGTTGCCCCTGAGGAACACCCTGTCCTCCTCACTGAGGCTCCACTCAACCCCAAGGCCAACCGTGAGAAGATGACTCAGATCATGTTCGAGACCTTCAACACACCCGCCATGTACGTCGGCATCCAGGCCGTGCTGTCGCTCTACGCCTCCGGTCGTACCACCGGTATCGTGCTGGACTCGGGTGACGGTGTCACTCACAGCGTACCCATCTACGAGGGCTATGCTCTGCCCCACGCCATCCTCCGTCTGGATCTGGCCGGTCGTGATCTCACCGACTACCTCATGAAGATCCTGACTGAGCGTGGCTACAGCTTCACCACCACGGCCGAGCGAGAAATCGTGCGTGACATCAAGGAGAAGCTCTGCTACGTGGCTCTCGACTTCGAGCAGGAGATGGCTACTGCCGCCTCCAGCTCCTCCCTCGAGAAGAGCTACGAACTGCCTGATGGTCAGGTCATCACCATCGGCAACGAACGCTTCCGTTGCCCTGAGTCTCTCTTCCAGCCCAGCTTCCTGGGTATGGAATCTGCGGGTATCCATGAGTCCACCTTCAACGCCATCATGAAGTGCGATGTGGACATCCGTAAGGACCTGTATGCCAACACTGTGCTGTCTGGTGGCACCACGATGTACCCGGGCATTGCTGATCGTATGCAGAAGGAGATCACCTCGCTGGCTCCCAGCACCATGAAGATCAAGATTGTGGCTCCTCCGGAGCGCAAGTACTCTGTCTGGATCGGTGGTTCCATCCTGGCCTCTCTGTCCACCTTCCAGCAGATGTGGATCTCCAAGCAGGAGTACGATGAATCTGGCCCCGGCATTGTCCACCGCAAATGCTTCTAAGAACACTATTTTTTGTTATTTCGATCCCATCTTATTCTGTATTTGAGTGCGACTTAGAGACATCCTATATATATCTTGCATTTTGTCAACACTGGGTCTCTCATTGCCTTTTGATTCGATGATTTCTCCTCTCAAACACATTTACTACTATAATGTGAGGATCGGCGTCGATATAGTAATGGGGATCTCAGAATAAACGGACGAATTTAGTAAGATGCACGCAATTAGCCCTTTCGGACCTAAAAGGGAGGTGACCTGGGGACTTTGCATAAAGGCGTAGGCAAATGTCAGAAAAGATGAATAGACACCGAGATCCAACCAAGTGCACTAACTCATGTGTCTGTGGTTACCCAATCGTTCAGGAAGCAGAAACCGACCGAAATGACACGGCATGAATTCACTGTGCTCTTCGAACGATTCAGAATCTGAGGACGGAGGATTTGAACAATACTCAGTCACCTCGAAAGGGGTTAGAATCCAGTCCTTGATGCAAGTGGTCGTAAACACAGCTGTCACGGGACCAGTTGCCTAGTCGCGTGTAGAGCCCAACTGTAATTCGCGGTTCCAACAGCCATGCACAGGTACCGACTTCAGCTGTTGGGAGGGACCAAATAGGAGGCAATTTGACGACCCTTTAAAACCGACAAACTTTCGGGTAGTGCGGGGTGGGGAAGAAAAGCGTGGGTAGCCACTGCAGTCACTATCACCTGGGGTCGTCCTGGACTAGTTCTTCCAATGGAACGGAATCAGTATTGGAGGAGAGAGAGAGGTTCATTGCAAGTCTTGCGAATTTTAGCCAAATCTTCCTGCATTTAGGCCGCGAGCTTAAAAATACGAGTGGTTATCGTCCTATCTGACGGCAGAGCTACCGACGAAGAGCCGAATTAATGACAGGCATCAAAATGTCACGTTCTCCCAGTCTGAGTAACCGACTATAACTTATTACCTTATGACTTCTTCGAGTCCACTTCCACAGAGAAAACTGCACACACCAGAACGTGACTACTCAAGTAGTATAATTTTCCTCTGGTTTTCGACGCCTTTATAAGTTCAAAGATATTTTTTTAGAAAGCGTAGACTCGTTTGGCAGGAAATCGCGTCGTCTTCAAATTCTATACGCAAAGAAAGGGTTCTTTCGACGCTAAAGATTTGTAATTATGAGATTTTGAAAACATTGAAATGCTCACTTAAATTCCATCGCTTCTCTACGTTCATTAATATTCCTTATAAAGTATAAAACATAGTCCGCATCCATTACAAATCTTTATGTGCCCTATATGGCATTCTCCTAATATCATAGAGAAATGGATGCGTGTATTTAAACGCGAAGTATGCAGTTTGTATTTAGCAGACATAAAACACAAATGTCCATTCAGTCAAAATAGTATCACTCGGTTTATTAATGCTCCTTACTAATTAAACAAGACAGCATGAACTCGTTGCAGATTTCTATGAACCCCATATGATATCTTTTAGTAGCAAAGAGGAATATAGGACTTTCCCTACATGTAAAGTATGCAGCTTGTAAACGAAAAGCAAAAATTCAACAGCAGAGTTGGACAAAATTATTCGGAAATTGAAAAACATTATCACCACAAAAATGTCATTTTTTGAGTACATAAATTGAGAAAAACTTGATCTGCCCTCAAAGGAGTACAAGAAGGGGCATTTTATGTATGCTTTTAATGAAATATACATAAATACGAAATATATTTACATGTATAGAAGCATCGAACTCAATGAAAAAATTTCTACCAGTTAAGTAGTCATCTTTAGCCGGTGCGATTATTACAGGCGGCTTAACAGGGGACATTCAAAAGTCGACACCCTAGCGTGACTGAAATATCTCGGGATTATGTTTCACGACAGTCGATATTACAACCCAATTTGAGTAATTCTTTCTAGTCGAAAACACACTCCGGACTTTCGTTTGACATTTTCTGAGAGAGGTCCGCGAAGGATCTGATTTATCGATCGCAGGCAGAATTCGACCGCGAATGCTTATGAGTAATCAGTAATTTAATGTTGCTCGAGGCGGTTTCCTATTTTTAGCTCTGTTTATCTCTCATATTACAGAACGGCGTGACCAGAAAAGGTAGGGAAAAAAGAACCAGAATACCTGAGAGTGCTATTTTCGAGAAATTGTTTTCGTTGAGGCTCGCAACCAAGTGATTAGGTAGACCCTCCATTGTTTCCGGCAAGACCTATAAATTCTGATATGGTATATACTCACGTGCGCTTATTCTCCATACGCGCGAACCGTCATGACGTCTCCAAGCGCAAAAACTGACAAATGTTCTTATGATACAGATGCCTGCAGCCAGCTGACAACTTTCCACGGTGAGGCTACCCGGCTGTAAGGAGACTTTCATGGTCAGCTGGAAGTTAGGGAAGATAAGAAACACAGGACACGAAGGCATCTCGACTGTCGCGAATGATGACGTTTGCCGCGAGATCCAAGGAGTTGACGCATCACCGGTGGCTAGAATATGAATTAATTTCTACGCAGGAACTACCGCACACTCTGCCCCCTCATCCGACTAAGACGACCGGAGGTGGACTCGGGCGCAGTTACCGAAAGATCCAAACAATCCGTCTACACGTGCCACACACGACCTGGGCCATATAAAATGTATCACAACCGTCTTTTTATAACTTACATTAGGTGTCATAAAAGCCGCATTATGATAGAGTCAATGCACTGACTCTCCGCCCTGGAAGGACCGAGTTGGTGTCTGATGAGGCTCTTAGTCTCCTCTGTTGCCTCTGTCTCACTAAGGATTGATTCCACTGCTGCAATCATGTTAACAGGTTTGGCATCAGTCGTGTTGAATGACGACTGCAGGTTTACTGGTGGTTTGCTGGAGGACCGACAGTTCTATGTCTCATGTGCAACGAACCCTGTAAAAGCGCTGACACGCGAAATTAATACTACGCTGTTGGCCTTGGAGAACTCAAGTGCAATAACACTGACCGACAGACGCATGGCAAGACCCCAAGATACGGCTTTGGCCCGATTCTATGGCCCCCCTAAGGTGCACAAAGACGGCGCTCCTCTCCGACCCATCGTGTCGCTCAAAGGTACTCCAACGTACGGACTGGCTAAGTGGCTGTTTCGGCGTCTCAAGTTCCTGACTGCTGGGTCAGACACCACGGTCTCTTCGTCAGCACAATTCCTGGAGAAACTCAAAGGGGTAAGCCTCCATCCAAATGAGGCCATGGTATCTTTTGATTTTACATCCCTTTTTACTTCTATTCCCCAGGACCTGATGATCGAGACAATCGAGCTGCTTCTACAAAGCAAATACGATGAAACGGAGAATCGTATTGGACGCGTCCAAGTCCTTCAGCTCCTGATGTTCTGTCTCAGGACGTACTTCACGTTCGACGGGACAATCTACGAACAGGTGAAGGACACACCAATGGGTTCGCCGATTCCGGGATTCATCGCCGAGGCGGTCCTGCAGCGGTTAGAGTCGCTGGTTTTCCAACACCACAAACCGAAGTTCTGGGCCCGGTATGTGGATGATACCTTCGTCGTTATCGACGGGGATCAACTGCTGACATTCAAGGAACGTCTGAATGCGGTCTTCCCGGACATACAATTTACGATGGAGGAGGAAGAGAACAACCAGCTGGCCTTCCTGGATGTCCTCGTATGCCGCAAGGATTGTGGTGGACTAAAGACCAAAGTGTTCAGGAAAGCGACAAATACGATGCAAGTACTGAACTTCAACAGCAACCACCCAATCAGCTACAAACGCAGCTGTGCATGGACGCTCTATCGACGTGTCGAAACGCACTGCAGTGAGCCGGAAGACAAGATTGCCGAACTACAATACCACCGACGGGTCTTCAAAACTAATGGCTACCCGCGCAACTTCGTCAACCGGTGCATACGCAAAAGGGACGAAAGGCCTAACCGCACGGACATCAAAGTTTGGCGAGCGCTTCCATATGTCAAGAACGTTTCGGAAGCTGTTGGCCGCCTTCTCGCACCACTTGAGGTTGGGGGTTGGAGTTGCACACTGACCGGAGGCAACCATCAGACGGCCGTTAATGAAACCGAAATACCCACTGCCACGGCAAGAAACGTCTGGAGTCGTTTATCGGATCGGGTGCAGTTGCGGACAAAGCAACTTCGTCGGAGAAACCGGAAGACAAATCCAAACGCGAATGGCCGAGCACGCTGCAGCGGTGCGGAGAAATGACGCTAGCTCTCAAGTTGCGGCTCATTCGACGGGTTCCGGCCACACATTAAAATTTGACGAAGCCGAAATTCTCGCAAGAGGTGACAACCGCGTGAGCCGGGAGCTGCTTGAGTCATGGTTTACTGGCCCCCAGTCTATTAGCAAGTGCAACGATCTTCCCATTCAATACTCCATGCTGAGATTTAGCCTAGGCGGAGTAATTGGCCACGCGGGGAGCGCACACGTGAACACTCTCCCCAGCACCCGGGTCAGCGCGTCAGATGTTCGAGCAATCATTACACCAACATCCAACGCACGTGATGAAATTGCAGCAATTAACGACGTAAATGTCGGCCATCGCGCCACGTGCAACGATCTCTGATGAAGGGGGCGGGGACGGAGCCGTGAATATTCATAGGTATGCGGTAGCATGGCTACTGCATCCTATAAATACTGCAGCCGCATATGTATGAACCACCCTTATTTCCTTTTGTCTCTGAGGATGGATTCGAGCGGGAATCCAAAACGACAGGCTAAAAAAGCTCTTGTCCCGGAGATCGTCTCTTCTTCTTCTTCTTCTTCTTCTTCTTCTTCTTCTTCTTCTTCTTCAAGACTGCCTCCTAGGACTCGTCTCTTCGCTTCTATTGGCAATCCACGGACTGTCTACAACGACCTTTTCATAACTCTCTGAGCTGAGGCCAGTGTAGATAATGCACCAGGTCGTCTACATCAGATGACCCATCCTGGATCAATCAAACACCCAACCGAAATAATAGTGCCGAACTAAAGCCCATTTAAATAAGTATAATAGTTATTTTTTGTATGCTACATGTGCTTGGGGTCCTCTCCCGGTCCTTGCCTTCGCCGTTCCTATTGGCTGAAACTCCCTGGGCTTCCTGTCTTATTGAAAACTTGCCAGCGGCGGTTTATTCAGTGTCCGTTAAAATTGCTTTCCGTTTATTTTTTAATTATGGCGCCAACTTTCTTTGCCAAATGCCAGCGCACGATAAAATTTTAGGCGGAAATTTCTCTATTTTCTCTGTCCTCTCGCTCGCTGTCCTGTGTGCTACTCCACCTGTAAAACCCCCTCTACTACCATCCAACTTATGCCGCGGCCCACAGGCTACCTCAAGTTATCGGGGTCCTACACCCTACCGTTGCCACGCGAGCATGAGTGCAGTGATTAACAAGACAAGTCAACGCGTTTACGCGTGCCCCAAATCAGCTGACCCCTTAGCACCCATAGGAACCAGCATTCAAAGAAAGAGACGGTCTAGGATCTCATGCAGTCGAGAAATTTCATGAAGGCCGTGGTAAGAAGGAGGAATTGCAGCCTGATGCCGGCGCCAAAAGAGAACCAACTATCCCGTCGACTAACGATCTCCGAAGCAAAACGTTTAGAACACCGAGATCGTTTGAATAGCTTCAAATATGTCACGGTGAAGAGTATCGCGGCCTCGGTTTCGCTTTCTCTTCCTTTTCCCATGAACTAGTGTCCTTTCCAAACCTGTCCACTGGCTGGTGTTCAAACCGTGCTCGCTGGTTGCCATGATGAAGAACTTCGTCTAGTGTGTGACACGCATCTGCGAAAATAATCAAGGACTCTCGTAGACTCATTTTAGTCCGACCGACGCGTGCCGTGAGCTAGAGTATCCTCCTTGCAGGTTAACGCATGACTTGAATGAACACACATACAAATAGGCACATCTGCGTACTGTCATGAGCTTCTGAAAACACAGTTAGAAGTGAAACTCCAACTGATGCTATAAAAGTCAGTAAACTCATATTTTAGGTCTCAGAAATTACGCGTATCAACAGTATCACAGGCCAGCATATTTGAGCCATAGCGATACATCGTTAAAAGTCCATCTCTGACGTGGTGTGTTCGCAGTATGCGCCCAGATCGTCGTTTGCCTTAGACCTCACAATCCTGCAACATCCACGCCCAAAGCAGTCCAGATTTTAGTGCACAGTAGAGCGTGTTAGCTGCAATTTTGACCGCTATGTGTGCCTGTGCCCTAGGTTTAAGTTTTGCGCACCCAATAAAATTAATTGTTGCGTGCCTACGGACTAGCCAAGCGGGTTACAGATGGTTGCAAGTGCAGTTCTGTGGCGACAGATACTTTGGTTCATCCGTCGAAACAGGACGCTTTTAGCAGGTAACTCAACTAAAGCCCCCCCCCCACAAGAACGACAGGAGGCCATACAGACGGTGGAAACCATCTAGCAACCCCAGCAATGAGATCACCTTAGATTCATTTTGGGGAGCCCTATTACAATAGGTCTGCTAACCCATGAAATGTAATGAGTTAGCACGAGAA